CTCATGTATAAGTCTAGAAATTTAGGTCAAAATTTGACCCCAAAAACCTGAGTCGATTTATCCATGGGTCAACATACGTAAGTACTATATGTTAACTCTTATTTAAAAGAAAGAACCATCCCCTGGTGAAAGGAAAGAGTATAATTTGTCCTGGAAGCATCAACCCGCTTCTACTCTCATCTATCCAGCCTTAAGAATGAGCACAAAGAGTTATGTCTGCTGGAGTTTTGTAATTTTGTAAGGTTTTTGGCATCTTTTCCCTTTGCTTCATCCTTTAGATCCTTTGCTATATGCTCCTAAATTTTACCCTCGACTTAACCATTTTATATCATAAAAATCCATAATTTTGGCCCAAAAACTTATCCTCAATTTATACATGACGTCGACTTATACTCGAGTATATATGATAAGTAGAGAAGAGGAAGATAAGGGGCTCTTGGAGGTGTTTCATCCACAGAGTCACTATGAGTCGCAATCCACTCAAAAGCAAATAACAACAGCAAATGGATGACCAGCTGAACAGCACAGTAGCAAATGGCCTTTGGAATCAGGCCCAACAGCTGGAGAAGGGAAGCCATGGCCCTCTAGATTAGTAATTCCCAGACTTTAGTCCTCCAGATGTTTTGGACTTCAACCCCCAGAAGCTCCAGCCAGCTTGGCCAACAGTCAGGACTTCTGGGAGCTGAAATCCAAAACCTCTCAAGGTCCAAACCTTGGGAGCCACTGCTCTAGACATTTGGGACAGCAACTTCCAGAATCCCTGACAATTGGCCCTGTTGCTGTGGATGTTGGGAGTTTGAGTCTAGCATTTGGAAAGACATTTTCTGGTAAGCATGCTGGTTGTATTACTATAATTTTCCTACAGCACTTTTGTAATACAGTTGCCCCTCCGTTCTCGTGGACTTAAAGTCCATGGTTTTGCATATTCACGGAAATATTTGTTAAAATCATAGAGGTGCGCCCCATTCAAGCCTATGGGGCTTGAATATTTGCGAGTCTCCGTTTTCGCGGGGGTGGTGGTCCGGAACGGATCCCCCATGAAAACAGAAGGCCGACTGTATTTTGTAATGGATGTTGTGCCACAGACAAATAACCTTGATGATGATGATGATGATTTGAAAAGACAGCATTTTCTCCATCCAGTTTTACAGAGCTGGGACTGGTGTGTGCTCTCATTTCTGAAATTAAAATCAAAGCAGGAAAAACATTATTCGAGATATGGGTCTCTTGGCTTGCTCTCCCATGAATGAGGAGCAAGAATTAGGGTGAGCAAAAGAATAGGCGAGGAGCTTGAGAACCAAGCCCAGGGTGGTGGTTATTGCTATGATTACTATTACTATTACTTCTCTATATGGATGCTTCAAGAGTCAGCATAGTAGTGATCTGAGTGACCCATTTTCTTTAATTTTTTTGTTTTCAATTGTTTATTTTGCCATTCATAATCCAAGGCTGCATCCACACACTGCAGAAATAATCCAGTCTGACACCACTTTAACTGCCATGGTTCAATGCTAGGGAATCATGTGATCTGTAGTTTTGTGAGACATTTAGCCTTCTCTGTCAGAGAGAACTGGTGCCACCACAAACAACAATTCCCAGGATTCCCTTGCCAACCTGGATTATTTCTGCAGTGCGTTTTGGAACTTAGTTTTCTCTGCCAGAGAGCTCTGGCGCCACCACAAACTACAAATCCCAGGATTCCCTAGCATTGAGCCAGGGCAGTTAAAGCAGCCTCAACCTGGATTATTTCTGCAGAGTGTGGATGTATCTATCCTGCGACTCTTGGTGACCAGGATTCGAATCCCGGTTGGGCTATGGAAACCCACTGGGCATTTCCCCCCTTGGAGAAAAGTCACACTCTCTCAGCCTCAGGGGGAGGCCATGGCAAAAAAAGCAAAACAAAAACAAAAATTCCCAAAAAAACCCAAAACATCATCCTCTGATGAAATCTTGCTAAGAGAAAAACCTATAATAGGGTCTCCATAAGTCAGAAACGACTTGAAGGCACACAACAACAAC